CATCAACAGGTTTAACTAAATCTGTCCTCAGACAACATTAAACACAGACTTTAGAAACATAGATTATGTATTTCCTCACATCCCATTGTCTTCATTATCATGTGGTTTACTTGGGATAAAAATTATGTCCCATTGTGGGTTAAACTCAGATAATAAAGGGACTATTCATACCATTGCTTTTGTTTTCATACAGAAAAAAAAATGTATCATAGAGGTGATTTCATGGCCAAATTTAATTTCAGAAAATCCCTATTTTAGTTCAAGTTATATGTAATTAAATTATATTTAGATGCCTTAAAATTATATTAAGTGAATATTTAAGTAAATTACATTAAACTTCTATACAAATCAAGTCAGATGCCAGTGTATAGTAAATGTATTTAGATGTCCAAGTTAAAATTACATTAAGTTCTGCAGAATGTTTTTAGGATTGAATAACTTCATTAATGGCTTCATCTTCTAGTTAAAGTTTAAATCAGCCTTGGTCTAATTGTGTTAAAGGTCTCCTGCAATATGTCTTAATTCTGTTAATTGGCTTCAATATCTCTGACTTGCTTAAGGAATCACTGTAATGTAATTGTCCTTGTGTATTAGTATATAAGGAGAAGAATTTGCAATATACTGTCATTAGAGTCTTGTGTCTTCATATGAAGTAGTCAGAAGTAGTGTAGAGTAGAACATATAGTCAGCAGATAGAAGTGGACCAGTGACACCAATACCGGGATTGTACAGAATAAAGGTAGAGATCACACAGATGGTAGTGAGTCTCTAGAAACGTAACAACGGCTTGGTGTTAAATGCATGAAATGATTGTCATTGCACTGCCTTTGTTTAAACTTAACCTAGTCTTGAAGATATGGTCATAAAAATGTTCAAATTATTTTTCAAACAATATTGGTGTTTAAAACTTGACACAGAGTGATGTCTTGAAAACACTAGAAACCATACAATGATGCCATGAAATGTGTTACATGATCTTCCATTTGTGTTTCTCATTATTTCATATGTTATGAGAACATATTAAATGGTTTAACTAACTCCTCCCCTCCCCAATGCCCACTGCTTTCAACTTTCATTCAAAAAAGTCCTGGAACATAACCATTTCGTGTTAAGAAGCACTTATTGCATATACCTATTAAACAACTATGAAATAAACAATTGGGTAGTTAATCAAAATAGTAAAAATAAAAATATCCCGATGTTGTCCATTTATGTATGGAGTCTCAAGGAATGTGCTATTTCATACCCATTTTTCACTAAAATGGCACAGACGATTTCTCTTATCTGTTTGATCATAGGAAGTCAACACATGGTCAATTTATTGACCAAATGAAACTGAATTTTTGCTGCAAAATATTAATTGTTGTTATTCATTCTAAAACTAAAATTACTGATTAAATAGTTTGGAAAATAAGTGCAGTAAAAAAGGTTTGTAGGCCATTTGTCTTAAACATTACTGTGATGACAGTAAGCATATTTGGAAATAGAAGACATGCAAAGAAAAGGCCCCACTCCATTAAAAACAGTTCTACAGCCAACCTTTCCCCAAGCAAAAGTGTCTACATCATCTTTATAAAGGGATGTGTCATAGTGGTGATTTCACAGCCAAACTTCATTTTAGAAACTTCCACATTTAAATCAAATTAAATCAACATTTGGTAAAGATTGTTCAGATGTCTCCTTTATAATGATATTATATGAATCTGTTAATGTATGTTATTCATTGGAAAGAACTGTAACCAAGTTTAAAAGGATGTTTTAAGTTTAAAAAGGATTGAACAACTTTATTTACGGCTTCATCCCCAAGTTGGAGTTTAAAGCAGTCTGACTTTAATTATGTTAAAGGTCTCTAGTAATATGTCTTAATTCTGTTAATTGGCTTCAATATCTCTGACTTGTTTTAGGAATCACTGTAATGTATTTTGTGTGTATTAGTATATAAGGAGAAGAACTTTGTATTAGAGGGAGATTGGAGATCAGAGCTCGGAGTGAGTTTGGTCAGTCGAACCGATAGCTGGATTGTCCCTGCTGTCTTAGGAGACTCCAGATCTCTCAGCCAGAGAAATAAATGTGGAGAGAAGTCAGTTTGTAGTTGTTCTCTGGAATACATATCACTGCTGTTGTGTTACCTGCTGGAGAAGTAACTCAGACCAAGTGTCCCCTGTGATACAATTAAAAAAAAGGCCCCTTATTATAGAAAAAGAAATCCTCTCCCTAAAATTAAGGGTGTTTATGCACAGTTGCACACCTATCCCGTAAAAACAAAAATTTTTGCATGTTCTTTTAAAAAGCTGTTAATATTATATATGCGAAGCGTCAACCTGGCAGCTATGTTAACTGCCATTACAAAGGAATAAAATGAAAGTGTCAAGAAGTCCTAGCTATTTGGCCATGGATATCATGACAGTTGCATTCAGAACAAGCTGTGGACTAACAGATCTGCAGATCAAATATGGCCAAACCACTTGAAAGCTTGCTGCATAATCCCCTAATATACACTGAATAGATTCCCAATGGGGATTGTGCGGTAAGCTTTCAAGTGGGTTGTCCAGATGAGATCTATGGATCTGTTAGGCTTCATTCACATGCAATGTCTATTTTCTAAATTCTATTTTCTATTTGCGGTATGTCTTATGATCACGGTCTGTGCCCTGAATATCCCGCGGCATAATTACTGGCAGCACGAGCCAGTTACTTATAGTAACTGGCTCGCGCTGCCAGTAATTACGCGGCGGGATATTCAGGGCACAGACCGTGATCATAAGATAGCGCGAATAGAAAATAGATTTTTAGAAAATAGACATTCCATGTGAACGAAGCCTTAGTCCATAGATCAACTGCTGCTGTCCCAATGAATATAAGCATGCAAAAGCAAGGTTGAAGGTCAAGTTCATCTCAATCCTCACTCCACCACACCCCACCACCCAGACACTGGCTATCTGTCTACAGGAGAGCCATACATACAGACCACTGTTGTTAGCATATTATTTATAGACATGAGTAGAAATTAGTTCTGCATGATGTCTAGGACAAACTGTTGCCATACTCAGCTCAGCAAATTTATAATACTGCTGGTAGGTAAATAAGCACTGATTTCTCCCCCCCCCTCCAACCCTAGCCCAAAGCAAAAAAGAAAAAAAAAAAGAGTATTAAAAACTGAATATAGTCCGTAATTATAATATGTTCATAACAACTTGCCAATTTCTTTTCTAGGAATTAGCTAATAATTTGACAAAACTAAGATTTGTTCCTGAACTTCTGACAAAAATATATCCCAATATATGGTAACTGAAACGAAATGGCTTAAATATGAATGAAAAACAGGCAACCCATTTAAAAGACAAGGACAAATTGCAAGATGGATATTAAATGACAGTGATGCTGTACTCATGTCATGCAAAATCTCATCCAAAAACAATAAAAGAAAGTTGGTTTCCAGGCTTAGCTAATGGGTATGAAATTTAGACAGTATGCATTCATGTAAATTCAGATGGGGATGCAGTTATTCTTACCCATAAGGGGAATGGTTTCGGCAAAAATATATCAGGATTTTTCCACTTTTCAGGGATTCTAGATAATTTATAAGCACTTGCATGTCTTTGTGTTGCAAAAAAAAAAAAAAAAAAGGATCACTTTTCATTAAAATATGCAATGGACCTTCCAAAAATATGTTGAAGGCAGCCCTAAAGTTTGATAGAGTCAGCTATGCAGGAAGAAGCATGAGAAGAATATATATATATATATATATATATATTAAGTCCAGCCTGTATTATCAGTTTTCTGCATCATTTAGCGAGAGAGGATGCATACAATGTGACAGCATGGTAAAAATGTTTATAGGAAGTAACATCATATCAAAATTATATATAATAGACCCAAATTACATATAATAGACATAACAATGCTATGTAATAAATAAACTTGGAGTATTCCTATACAAACATTTTTATAATGTTTGGTAATTAAATTAAGTACTCTATATTTTTACTCTAATAAAGTACTTAGTACTAAAATTTTACTCAAGTACTAAAATTTTTAAATGCTTGGCCTGAACTGAAAGTTACATTATAATTATTATTATTTTTTTAATGTCCAGTCATTCAAGCAGGGTGNTTTTAGGAATCACTGTAATGTATTTTGTGTGTATTAATATATAAGGAGAAGAACGTTGTATTAGAGAGAGATTGGAGATCAGAGCTCAGAGTGAGTTTGGTCAGTCGAACCGATAGCTGGATTGTCCCTGCTGTCTTAGGAGACTCCAGATCTCTCAGCCAGAGAAATAAACGTAGAGATCAGTCAGTTTGTAGTTGATCTCTGGAAAACATATCACTGCTGTTGTGTTACCTGCTGGAGAAGTAACTCAGACCAAGTGTCCCCTGTGATAGGTGTGCTTTTTTACAATCTTTAAAGCTGAAATTGGGGGCTTTAATGAAGTGATCCGGGCGCGTTTCCACATTTTTTTATGAATGACAGATGTGGTAGATTGATTTCGTCACAATTTGGAAAAATCGGAGACAGGTCAGTTTTGGGTGACTTTGAGTGATTTTCATTCTAACAAGAAAGGAGTAATTAAAATAACCTTCAAATTCAACTTTCTCTTTTACTTGTGAAACAGTTGTGCAGCATTCTGTTCTCTTGAAGTCCAGCTTGTTCGTATAATATAAAAATCCAACTCATGAGCAGCTCTAGATTTTCACCTTTATTATATACCCATCTCTTTTTTATATTATATACCCATCTCTTTTTTTACATGACTCACATCCACAATAAAGGTTTACCTTCACATACATTTTAGAGTCAATCACAGGTAAGGTGAACAAGTGAACAGAAAACATCTTCTGACCGCAATTGTCCCATTTTATGTACAGGAGGAACTTCAACATTATCAGTGCCAAACACAAAGTGCCAAATACATAAAAGTAAAGATTGGGTTTGAAGCCTGCTGGCCTTAAGGACCAAGAATCTGCTAACTTTATAACTTACTCTCGTTTTTTTTTTTTTTAATGGATCTACTCAACCTGAATCAATCCTGCCTCCCTGGGAGTTTTACAACTATACACAATAGAGGTCAGCACTCTTCACAGAGCCATCAAGCCAGTCCATAAATACACGTTTCAATATTTAACAGTAATATCAAATGCCTTGTATATGTACATTAGAGAAACATTATAAGGTTCACAAAGCACTATAAATTCAACATGTTATTGGCAGTTAGAAGAGCTCGTTCAAACATAAACACATATCACTCACAGAAATCTTCTTTATAACATTACCATAATGATATAACAGCCCGAGAACACTGTCAAAAGAGTCATGTAACTTGTTTCCTTTAAACAACTGATGCAACTGTTTAAAATATAATTGAATCTTATGGCAAATTGGAATAACATATTGCAAAATAAGCTATATATACAAGACACAGCAACACAGAGCAGACCAGTCTGGCTATAATAATTTACCATCATGTTTAATGATTATGTTACAAATATGGCTTAAAAAATTCCATCAGAAAATTTCAAGTTTTAAAACAGGAAAATGACAAAAATATACCATAAGTTGAATCTAAATTACAGGAAACAGTAAAACTGAAAGGAATTCTATTCCCTGAAATTTGTACAGTTCCTAATTACTTCTTTGCTCATTAGTTTTTTGTTAAGTACCACAATTCTTTCTTATTCCAAAATTCTGATGACGTTGCCTGTCCGCAGAATGTAGCTGTCATCCTGGAGATCTTGCAAGGCCTCGTTGAACATTTCTTTGGTTATGAGCTGAAAGAGAAAAAATACTTCATGAATGATATGATTAAACTCACACAACTGGGGCTCTTTTCTGGAAAAAGTGGACCTTTTACCATGAAACCTTCGTCTACCTAGATCAAATTTTACCCAAAGAAGACAAGCACGAAGGGGGGGTTCATTCAAACTCCTGGCAATTGGTTTTGCAAAGAGGTCTGCTAAACAGGCATAATTTATAAGATGCCTAAACTTGACTCCTTTTGTGTCTTAAGTGAGCAGCGATCCATTTCTTCCAATAATCAAAACATTCCTAAATGCTTTGAGATACTATTTAAGAATTATGATGCTGATTCCACAAAAGAGAAAAATAAAACAGTCCTTATCACATCTTGGTCCAAAGTCAGACAAAGGTAACTTACTGCATCTGATCTCTCTCGTGTTTCATCAAACATCTTGCTATACTTCAACGTGGGCACTTTGCCTTTCTCCTGGATCAACTTCTTGACAGTCTGTGCAAGCTCTGCACGTCGTTTGCGGGCAGCCCCACTGATGCCTGTCGTTAGGATGGAGATATCTATCTTTCCTGTGGAGGGGTCTACAGCAGCCTGTTTCAGGGCTTCCCTGTGTAGTCTGAAGAAAATATGTAATAATCTTAAATACTAGAAACAAAATATTTTATATCAGTTGGATATATATACACATATGTTAAAAACAACAAAAAGCCAAGTTTTAAGTAAAATCATGGTATTTCAGTTTATGATTTCTTAATTATAAAGCACATTAGCCCTTATCCTTATCATTTGCTTAAACTGTGACATATCCAGGTCATATGAAGGCAAAATTGTTTCTTTTGACATAAATGTCTATTAGATTTCAAAACTTCCCAGATGCAAAGTTATTCTCAGCATATCTCTGTGTAGCTTTCACACGATGAAAGTGGACCATTTACAAAAATCCAGAAAATGTAAGTGCACCCCCCTCCCCACAAAATTTAAATAATAATTTCTTAAATAAATATCTGGATAAATCCAGAAAAGTCATTTCTGTAACTTTCACATACAAATTTCTGACCAGAACCCTGTCCACCTCCAGACAGACAGACAGACAGCACCCACCTTCTTGCCTCCTCCACATCTGACACCTCCACCACCTGACTGAACCTCATGCGTGCATGCGCCTCCGCCAGGCGTATCAGCGACTCCAGCTGGCGAGGGTATGCAGATACCTGGCCGCGTCCGCTACCTATTTTGCGCATGTCCACGTATGCCTGGATGAAGGCTTGTCCAGCGTCCTCGCTGATGGTAGGATGAATGTACTGCTTGGCATAGGAGAGGTAGTCACGCAGGAGACTCATTTGCTAGAAGACGGAGTAACAATATACAGTAACTCTTACTGCTAAGCCTTGAGGTTTGTAATCTATAACAAGGCAGCAAAGCTGTCAAATGTACAGACAAATAACAGAAAATGAGTTTGTAAACTATAAAAATATTATTTCTGAAGAGATAATATATAAATTATCCACACACTAAGAACATACCGATACACAGAATTACAATATTAACACTAATGTTTACACTGCATTCATGCACTCACACAACCACTTACAATGAACTCCTCTTCCTGTTGTTCAGCAGACTGATAGTACAGAGACACCAAGTGGTTGGCGAGGCGACGGTCAAACAATTCGTCCTGGGGGTCAAGGATGAGAAAAATNAGGAAACAGTAAAACTGAAAGGAATTCTATTCCCTGAAATTTGTACAGTTCCTAATTACTTCTTTGCTCATTAGTTTTTTGTTAAGTACCACAATTCTTTCTTATTCCAAAATTCTGATGACGTTGCCTGTCCGCAGAATGTAGCTGTCATCCTGGAGATCTTGCAAGGCCTCGTTGAACATTTCTTTGGTTATGAGCTGAAAGAGAAAAAATACTTCATGAATGATATGATTAAACTCACACAACTGGGGCTCTTTTCTGGAAAAAGTGGACCTTTTACCATGAAACCTTCGTCTACCTAGATCAAATTTTACCCAAAGAAGACAAGCACGAAGGGGGGGTTCATTCAAACTCCTGGCAATTGGTTTTGCAAAGAGGTCTGCTAAACAGGCATAATTTATAAGATGCCTAAACTTGACTCCTTTTGTGTCTTAAGTGAGCAGCGATCCATTTCTTCCAATAATCAAAACATTCCTAAATGCTTTGAGATACTATTTAAGAATTATGATGCTGATTCCACAAAAGAGAAAAATAAAACTGTCCTTATCACATCTTGGTCCAAAGTCAGACAAAGGTAACTTACTGCATCTGATCTCTCTCGTGTTTCATCAAACATCTTGCTATACTTCAACGTGGGCACTTTGCCTTTCTCCTGGATCAACTTCTTGACAGTCTGTGCAAGCTCTGCACGTCGTTTGCGGGCAGCCCCACTGATGCCTGTCGTTAGGATGGAGATATCTATCTTTCCTGTGGAGGGGTCTACAGCAGCCTGTTTCAGGGCTTCCCTGTGTAGTCTGAAGAAAATATTTTATATCAGTTGGATATATATACACATATGTTAAAAACAACAAAAAGCCAAGTTTTAAGTAAAATCATGGTATTTCAGTTTATGATTTCTTAATTATAAAGCACATTAGCCCTTATCCTTATCATTTGCTTAAACTGTGACATATCCAGGTCATATGAAGGCAAAATTGTTTCTTTTGACATAAATGTCTATTAGATTTCAAAACTTCCCAGATGCAAAGTTATTCTCAGCATATCTCTGTGTAGCTTTCACACGATGAAAGTGGACCATTTACAAAAATCCAGAAAATGTAAGTGCACCCCCCTCCCCACAAAATTTAAATAATAATTTCTTAAATAAATATCTGGATAAATCCAGAAAAGTCATTTCTGTAACTTTCACATACAAATTTCTGACCAGAACCCTGTCCACCTCCAGACAGACAGACAGACAGCACCCACCTTCTTGCCTCCTCCACATCTGACACCTCCACCACCTGACTGAACCTCATGCGTGCATGCGCCTCCGCCAGGCGTATCAGCGACTCCAGCTGGCGAGGGTATGCAGAGACCTGGCCGCGTCCGCTACCTATTTTGCGCATGTCCACGTATGCCTGGATGAAGGCTTGTCCAGCGTCCTCACTGATGGTGGGATGAATGTACTGCTTGGCATAGGAAAGATAGTCACGCAGGAGACTCATTTGCTAGAAGACGGAGTAACAATATACAGTAACTCTTACTGCTAAGCCTTGAGGTTTGTAATCTATAACAAGGCAGCAAAGCTGTCAAATGTATAGACAAATAACAGAAAATGACTTTGTAGTTTGTAAACTATAAAAATATTATTTCTGAAGAGATAATATATAAATTACCCACACACTAAGAACATACCGATACACAGAATTACAATATTAACACTAATGTTTACACCGCATTCATGCACTCACTCAACCACTTACAATGAACTCCTCTTCCTGTTGTTCAGCAGACTGATAGTACAGAGACACCAAGTGGTTGGCAAGACGACGATCAAACAATTCGTCCTGGGGGTCAAGGATGAGAAAAATAAGGTCAAACCTGAAATATCAAATACAAATATTTTATCTTGTGAAATAAAGCAGATAAACTCTTGAAAATTACAGATGTTATAAAAAATAAAACAAATAAATTAATAAAGTAATAACTAAAATAATAAAATTTAGAAGATAAAGAAATAGAAAAGAAAGGAAAGGAAAAATAAGAGAGATGTACATACAGTCTGACATTAACTTTTTTATGGTATGCATACAACACTGTAAAGTAAAACTTGAAAGCAAAAAATTTCAACCATGCTCAACAACTTTTTAAAACAAATCTGCTTGTGATGTTGTATCTACAGTCAAACGTGTCCATGTTTCCTACCTAGACAGCAATGTATGTGGCAGCATGATGTTCTCTATGATGGTCTTATTCTTGTTCCACTGGGATTCCACGGGATTGGCTGCCGCCAGGACAGAAGTTCGAGCATTCAGAGAACATATGATGCCTGCTTTCGCTATGGAGAGCGTCTGCTGTTCCTGTAGTACAGAAATTAACCAGTTTGTCAATATTTCAAACAAAACCTTCCAATAAGCATTTGCTACACCAAGTGTGAAACCGTCATGGATGGACCATTCCCAAAGATGTGAGAATACAAACTGAAGCTCTTGTGATAAAAGCAAAATATAGTCGTTTCAATTTAATATTTTGTTCAAAGTAAGTGATTAGTATTATTATTCCATGGGATTGCCGCCAGTACAAATGTTTGCCCATTCAGAGAACATATGATGTCTGCTTTCGCTATGGAGAGCGTCTGCTGCTACCGTAGTTGAGAACAGTTGGTACAGAGATGAATTTCCCTTGTTTGTCAATATTTCAATCAAAACTCTACCAGAAGCAATTACTACACTGAGTGAGAATCATTCACAGGAATACCAAAACCCAGCAACATGTTGGCATTCAGCTTGATGATGCTTTGTGACAAGAGTGAAACATGGATTGTTTCAATCTTCCCAAAGTAAATTATTATCACTAGAACATTACTAAATAAAACCTTACGGCTCTATTAACTTACTTTTTAACATGCACAAGAAGGGAGAAAATCTTCAGAAAGATGCTTGAGTAACAGATCTCGACGTCACACTTACCATGACTTCATGCAGAACAGATCTTGTGCTATCATTCATTTTGTCAAACTCATCAATACAACAAACGCCATTGTCACTAAGAACAAGTGCTCCACTGAAATGAAAAGTTTTAAATTAGTCAAATTTTGAACGCAAATGGACTCAACAGACAAACAGGAAAACCAGTTACAAGATTACAAAATAAGATGCATAAATCAATGGCTGGGGCAGGAGAAAAAATGTCCAGGGTTCCGTAGCTGGAAAGGTATGCTGTGTTGCGCAAGCGTCTTGATTCCGTAACTCACCCATACTCGTCCCATATAATACATTGTAGCTTCTATCTGATATAGCGATTCACAATACGCGATGCTTTCGAGATACAGGGCCCGGGTGTCTGTTTGTATGTATGTAGATATTTTATTAAATTTTAAAGAAAAATTCTGTATGTTTAAATCTTCCTGTCAAATTATTACCAAATTGGTAACAAATTCTTTGCAGCAAGCATGATCACAGCAAAGGGCTGAGAGAGCATAACACAAGTTTATTTTTTCTTGAACATAACAAAAGCTGACAGTCCGACAGTCACCCAGACACTCACGTCTGCAGTACTAGCTGATTGGTCTCGGGGTCCTTGGTGATGTAAGCTGTGAGCCCCACGGCACTGGATCCCTTGCCAGAGGTATAGGTGCCCCGCGGAACCAGGTTGTGGACATATTGGAGGAGCTGGGACTTACTGGTCCCTGGGTCTCCACACAGCAGGACATTCAGCTCCGACCTTGGAGATAATATAGAAATTAATATATCAATAAAGGCAACATGGAGAGATGGATATAAAACTGAGGATTAATGAAATATGGATATCTGCATAGCAGAAAATTTAGTAATATATATCAATGGAAACTGTGAGTCAAGATGCACAATTAGATATAACACTGAGGATTACGAATATATCTGATTCAATATTCACACAGCAGGACATTCAGTTCCAAACTCGAAAGAAATCATATTTATAGGAAGACATTCCACTGGAACATAATTCTCCACAAAGTGGGACATTCAGTTTTGAACTGAAGAGGACATATCTATAGCTATTACCATGAGACAACTTGTACAGGAAGCTGTACAGCTTTATAGGTAACAAGGCTGCTGAAAATTTCCAAAACTTTCATAAAGTCTCCAAGCAGCAGCTCTCAACGTACCTGAACTTTCCTCGGCCAGAATTTGTGAAGTCTTTCCTTGTTCCTCCAAACAGCTGCAGAAGTATGCCTTTCTTGATGTCTTCATTTTCATAAATACTTGGTGCTTAAGGAAAGACAGAAGCAAGGCAATAATATGATATAGTGCCTGATTACATTTAAAATACTTCATCAGCACTGTTGTGCATATTAAGATTCAGATTTCATTTCCAGCTATCTAACAAGTGCCCTTGCATGAATCCCATGGTTTATTCCAAAACACAGCTAAAACAAAACCCCCAGTCTTACAGCAAAATGTATCATCAGCTATCAATTATAGAGAAATAAAAGTATTTTCTCTGCCAGTTTGTATTCATACCAATGGCATGTGCCAGTCGTTCATAGATGTCTGGTTTCTTGGACAACTCTTGCAACTCCTTCACTCTCTCTTCAGTGTAACGAACAACACTGGAATTACAAATTATATGTAAGTATAATGAGCATGCTGTCAAATCTTATATTCAGATTGAAAGGGACTGAAGACAAAACTACCATCACTAGCTTTAAATATTTTAAATTTGAATAATACTTAACTAAATTTCACTTAATGGTTCATGTTTTTGATACATAATTATTTTTATAAATTTTTGTCTTTTTTTTTAACCAAAAAGAAAAGAATCATAAATAAATACAGTTAAATCCCTAACAATATCAAAACAGCTTAAAACTCACTTCTCTTCTTCCTCATTGGATTCTTGTCTCAGTCTGTGGACATCCATCTTGCGGTAGTGGACGACATCGATGTGTGTTCTGTAGACAGACTTCACGTTGCTCTGCCGAGGGTTGGCTCTGAGGGGGGTGGCCCTGTAACGTTAAATCATTCAAGATGTAAGAACCACTAGTGTCAAAGGCAATGACAGATTACAACAAATAAATACAAACAGGGGTGCCCTATGTGTCTCACAAAATATTCACTTCATCCTTTTTTAAAAATGATTTATTCCAGAAAATTTGTATAAAATTTCATAACATTCTTGCCTTTTTATTCAGCAAAGTTTGGAAGCCACAAGTTACAAGAAAATTCTCATTTCTATTAATACTGATAAGACATGACTTGAATTCATTTCCCGCTAAAAGGGGTCAATGTGTACATGACTGCCATGTCCTTAATGTGAAGAATGTCTTAAAAAAAGGGTTATCTCACCTGTAGATCCCAGTAATGGTAATCCTGTCTCCAGGTGACACCTTGTCCACCAGGTCGCTGTGGGCGTAGACACTGACCGTGTGGGGGGTCTGGCCGGGGGGCATGTCCTCTGCAAGGTGACACAGTGGCATTAAGTACAAAATATACTTCTTATTTAAAGTTTGATAAAAATTGATCTAGTCTCCTTTTTTTTCTTTACGGGGAGAAAAGACTGTTCAAGTGGAAGAACTGCCTATGAATTTCGATTCTATACTTCAATACAAATTTTAGCAACTTTTTAAGTCCTCTTTCACACATAATATATAACAAACAAATTTTGTTAATTTTTTGCTCAGCTAAAAGTACAAAGTCACTTCATCTGCACATCTGTTTTGTTCTTAAATCTTTGTGTGGCTGTTAATATCCTCATCAAATTACCTGGGGACTCCTGCAGTTTCACCTGCTGTTTATCAGTGAATTGAGACCTGTTGTGGACCAGACCAAAGGAGTGGTTTGTGTTACAGTTCTGGCACAGAGTGGGCTCAGCAATACGTCCTCGGTCTATCTCCACGGAAACCGTGTTCTGGCAGACATAGCACTTGAAAAAGGCCTCACGCATTTCTGGCATCAGGGTGGAGGTCCTGATGACCATTCCACTGATGGTGATCAGTTGGTCAATATCTAGAGGGGGAGGGAAGAGGAGAATTAGAAAATTATGAAGGTTGGAGACTTACAGTCATTTACAAGAGATGTTTTCTGTTCAGTTTAAGTAAGAAAAAAATTAAAAGTAAAAAAAAGTAAAAATAAATAAATAAATAAATAAATAAATAAATAAATAAAAATAAACAATGACTTGATGTGTATGTCAAAAAATAACCACTTTCTTTTCCACAGGTGAAATTAAAAATTATTATTTAGTCTTATGCCTATACCCATGCTATCTTTGAAATTTTCCTGATATGTGCATAACATTTCAAAAACCAATGGACATAATTATCAGTTGCTCTTCACACATTTGTACTGCAAACCACTTTCTAATCAATAAGAAAATAATCACACAACCATATTTGAAAGGCGAAAATTTTACCTTCCGGATTTAACGACCTCATATTCTTAGTCCTCTCACAGTTGTATGGTCTCACTTGGATCTGATGAGGCAACTGAACATCTTGGTGGCGACTGAAGAACAGCTCGTTGACGGCCATGTCAAAGGTCGGGATGACCTCCTGGGGGTAGCAGACCAGCTGGCGGTAAAGGTCAGGGTCAAACTGGCGCAGGTGCTCGCAGTTGAAGTTCAGGTATGGTTCTCCAATCAGGGAAATCTGGGGTGGAGAATTATAATGCTTGTTACAAATATCACTTTACCGAAATTTTGAAAAGGAATACTAAAATAAAAAATATCTGTCAAGCTCTAATCAAACTGCTCTTTGACAAAAGTTAAGCAACAAAAGAGTATTGACTTGCAGCAAAAGAAATAAATGAAAAAACATATTTTTCAGGACCATGCCTCGTTAAAAAAGAGGAAAAAACAAATTTGCAACAATCTTAGCATATTCACAGGTTTTTAAAATGAAAGTATGCATACCCAGGAGGGTAAAAAAAAAAAAGAAAAAAAAAATCTGAAAATGGATTTTAAACAGATTAGGACCCAATTCTTAGGTCCTGTGTCTCACATTAAGCAAGAAAAGCGTATTGACTTGTGGCAAATGAAATTATTTGAAAACACAACAGATTTTCCACCCCAGGGTCCACCTCTCCTCCTTACCTCCTCCAGTTTCTGCAGGTAATACGGCTCCTCGATATCCATCCCTTCCATCCTTTCATCTTCAGCCACCTCGTGGTCGATAAACCTCTGGACAAACTGCGCGAACTTCTCCTTGCAGTGGCTGACCACCACGTCTGTCCCCCAGATGACCAGTTGTGGACCCGCGTTCACCTCAGATGACACCTCACTGGTGGCTTTTGATGCATCCTGAAAAAAAAAAAGCCCTGTTGTATTAAGTCTGCTGTTGTTTGACTTACACTATAACCCATTATAGTTATTAAAAAATTGAGTTAAAAATGCATCTAGATATGATTTTCTTTATTTAGCAGTCCCTGAAGAGGGCCCATATGCCGAATGCTTGGTTTTTTAAAACATAGTTTTAGTTGATCCCTATAGATTTATATTTAAATCAGCCTCATTTGCTGTGGGGTGTTTGTAAGACAACGTTAGACCAATATTGCATAGTCAACTTTTCATAGCAGGCTATTCAGTTTTTAGTCAAGTCCAAAAAATTTAAGACTTCTTGTGAAACAAGCCTCTTGTGGAAGTTTGATATACAGTAAAGGCAAGCTGAATTTGAAGTAAGACTGCATTCCATATAAACTACATTAAACGCATACCACATGCAGCTTTTGGAAAGAAGTGACTGTGGCCTTAAGTCCCACACGGGACGAAGAGGAATGATGTTGATGACATGCAGCTCATAACAGAAACTCACCAAATTATCAGATCCAACAGGCACTGTTCGAAGCTTTCTGTCACTTCTGATGTCAGAACGGGGTCTGATGGGGGTCCCTCCACCCCCCGGGGTTCTGGGTGTGCCCCTGGAGCTGGGGGTTCCATAATTGAGGGGAGAACTCAAGTCAATGTCACTGGTTCCTAGGGGGAAAAATGGAGCAGAGCTTTTAATTCAGCTTAGGAAAAATTATAATTTATATTTCTTTATTTTCTAAATTAAAATTACTATTAAAAGTCCTGGTCTTTTTGACTGAATTACACAATAAAACAGCAGCGACAACTGCAAATCCCTGATGCAGGCTGATACTCATGAAGCATTCTTCACTATGGCCTTAACTAGATTTTAATATGAAGTTCATACTGGGCAGCAGCACAAAAAATTACCTAAGGAAATATGAAATAAAAAAGTAAATAACATCATCAACCTAAAGTTTGCACTATATTTTTGAACAGAGAAGGCATCAGATTTAAAGGCAAAATCTATAGCATATAGACAATACATTAGCAAGGAAAATAAAAAAAAACAACAAAAAAACAACAAGTTTCACATCACATACCTGTTGCTCCTTTATTAGAAGCACCTGGACTTGAGAACAGTGAAGTGTCCAAATCTTTGGGTGCCCCTGTAGGTGGCGAGGTGGGCATCTGCGCCAGTGGTGAAGTGTCCACTCTGCGCCGCTGAGAGGGCGGAGAACTGACGATGTCCTCTTTAGCAGGGGTGCCTCGTGTACTTCGACGAGAGGCTGAAAAGGCGATGAAAAAATATCACATTTAGAAAACTGTGATGAAAAAACTTATCACTGGCTGACACTGGCAATTTGTCTTAGTGATATCCCACTGATATAATTCTATTTCTGTCTTTAACTTTGTATTGTAAAATTACAGTGGCATCAGTTGAAAATATGTAAGAAGTCCTTAAACTCAGTTAAAGAAACATTTGTACTTACGTGTAGTTGGATTGCTGCCAGTTCCTCTGGCGCTCCTCCTAGAGGCTAAAAATACAGCAATTCACATTTCTGATTAATATTTTTTCAACTCTGTAGGGTACTATATATAATGACATGGGCAAAAAACATGGATAATATCAACTTACTGTCTGAACATTCTGCTGAAAAAAGAAAGAAAAAAACTTACAAGTTAAATAGTTTAAGACATTGACCATATATGATATGGCTTTATGCCATTCAACATCAAACTTACGAGTTGCAGATTTGCTGGAGGCTGGACTGCTTGCCTCAGAGTCACGACCACGCTTACTGCGCGTGCTGCGAGGAGTTGTCGGTGATGACATGGTTCACAGCTACGATAAGACTGGGTTCCTTAAATATGTAATATTTTGATTTTATTAGTCTTCCTTAAAATTTAAAACTTGATATATTTAGATTAAAACTAGGTGGTTTAAACTGATAAACTAATTGTATGTATGATACTTGATATTGATAAATGTTTTTTTTGTCCTTAATTAGACAATAAGAATCTAATGACAACTGATCAATGACTGGTGGAGTATATATAGTGTGAAACATTAGTAAAGTGACAAATATGAGAGAAATGGAAATTAACTCAGTAAATACAGGATCACTGTGGTGTATAACATTGAAATTATCAATACGTATTTTAACTGAGTACCACACTGTGTAGTAAATACTACTAGTACGTAACTATAGTACTCTGATTAGCATGAAAATTCATGCGTTAGCACTCCTATTGACTCTGATATGTACTGGCTGTGCTAACTATAGTCAATAGGAGTGCTATTGCATGAATTTTCGTGCTATACTCTGATGAGTGATCGAATTATTACAGAAATGATATAAGTGCCTAATATCAATCGTGAATTAATTGTGTATTTGCAAAATATTTATGAAGCTTGTGTGCTAGCTAATATTCACTACCGGTCAACATAGTAACATATGATCTACTCAACCTGATGTCAGTGATGAATGGTTCATGAAAATTTATCGTAGACTACGATTTATTTCCATGCAAGGATCAAGGGCCTTGGGCCTTGTCAGGTCCATAAATGCTTCGCTTGTGTACAAATAACGATCTCTGAACTATATTTACACCAGGCTGATGGATATTTCTGCACTGTCAACTATTCAGTTAATCATAAAACTGACAGTGGCAGAAAGACAGTCGGCGGGGCACGATAATCTCAATGATATCATGATCAAAACATCTCACCTGGTTTTACGATCTGTGATTTAACTTACATTTAATAATTTACAGGGTATTACTAAATTAACGGAATACTATTGCCTGGCAGCATTCAACTCAGCAATAAGTTCCGTAAGATATATATTCATATAAAAGACAGCAACTAACGAGATTGCCTCACCTTTTGCGATATACAGCTTTGTCCACTGATCACACTCTTCCCGCCAAACAAATGCGCTTTAAATCACGTGTGGATATTCGCGGGAAATGACCGACCTTGACCTGTTTTTCTGACAAACAGCAACACGTTTTGATTTTATGAACATCTTGTTATATATTTTATGAATATATACAGATAAACATATTCTATAAATCTTTGTGGTATTCTCTACCTTAACTGAATAATCTACAAACAGGTTAACGCAATTATATGTAACGACATTACGTAGTACCCATCTGGGGCACTTAAGCCATGTGGGAAGTTGGGCAAGAATTGCCAAACAAAACGATTAATGACACAGAGAATCCTCAAGGTGTGTGGTTCAACAAATTTGCTTTTATTTAGCAGCATTTTAGTCAGAAGGGAAAGTCGGAAGTTAATTTACTTGTACATAAAGCTCTGAAATTTAGTTACAGCAGTGGTTTGTGTCGGTGATTTTTAGACTGGTGTTAACGACAATGCAGATGTAGCAAAAAAAATGTAATACAGTTAAAGAGTTGAAGTTCATGTTACAAATATATATTCATTGAATTGATTTATGAAGTGAAATTGACTTTTTTTATCCATTTCCAGGGCTGTAAAACAGATATCGATGTTCTGAGAAAAGATGACAATGCGTTTTTTAGTTCGGCTGCTGCATCAGAGATTCCACAGTATACTTCCACAACATGGAAGAGTACGGAATAGGGGTGGGAGTTTTATGTCTCCTTGTCATTTCACCAATGAGAAAAGGACAATCCTCACCAGCCCAGTCACTCTTTACCCACGTGGTCGGCACAGGCCACCGTCAGGGTCTCTCGCCAAACGTTCAGGCACTCGTCAGGACAGGAGAGCAATCTCAGATGATGAAAATAACAATCAGCGCAAAGCACCGGAGTCTTATAAGGGTTTCAGGAGCGAGGAGGGACTCAAGGAGGGTTGGGGCCTACGACAATCCTCTCCTTTCAATAATTACAATGTGCGAAGATCTAGAGATGCTGGAGCTGCTGAAAGAGGAATGGAACGATACAGCAGGGAAAGCCGTGAAAAATCTAGTGGTGAATTGAACACTTTACAGAAAAGTAAAAGAATCAGACCACGGCCTACTGAAAAGAGCATGAAGGCAGAAATTAACATGTTAGATATGGATGAGAAAGAGTTTTTTCATTCAGATTCGGAGTCCAGTGATGATGAAGATGAAGTGGAAGGGACACCATTATTTGATGCAGCAAAAGCAAAGTTACTTAAGGAAACCAGCTTTATACATGTAGCTGAAGAACAGCGATCAAAGCAAGATCAAACTGCACATGCATATAGACCTAACATTGACCCTCGGGAAACCTCTATCATTTTATTTCCTGGACAGGGCAGTCAGTTTGTTGGGATGGGAAAGAAGTTACTCGGCTACTCAAATGTAAAGGACATGTTTGAGATGGCCAATGAAATTTTAGGATATGACTTGTTGGAATTATGCCTCCATGGCCCCATTTCTGAGCTAAACAAGACTGTTCACTGTCAGCCGGCTGTGTTTGTGACGTCTCTTGCTGCTGTGGAAATGATGAAGGATTCTAACCCCAAGGTGCTTTACTTACATGAGATGAGGGTTTAGTTTTCTAGTATTTTAGTTAATTTTTATAGCTGGTTTGATATAAAATGAAAGCATTTTGAAGAACAGACTCTGTTAAGTTGGGCACATGTTAAAAGTTGAGAAACACTATTAAAGCTTAGTTAGTATTTCATTTTAGTTGATCAGATTGAATTTTTTTTTGACTTGAGTTTTTCAAAACTATCAATAACAGCTGGTATGAGATGGGACTAAAATAAGACAACAAGAGTGACTTTGTGCTAATATTATAGTTATGTACAGACCTAGATAATATGTTGGTAAGAACTTCAACTGATTTTAACTGTGACTGTGTGTTTCAGGTACTGGAGAAGTGCATCACCACCACAGGGTTTAGTGTAGGAGAATATGCTGCACTAGTGTTCGCAGGGGCAATGACATTTGAGGATGGTAAGGATGAGGACATGGGCATCTTGGAAATTTCTGTCCCAAAACATACACAGAGTTTTTGTTCCTATGCACATTATACACTAGGTCATTTTTGAAAATTTATTTATTTGTTTGTTTGTTTGTTTGTTTGTTTGTTTGAGAATGACAGGTTTATTTTGGACTGGTGGAGGACCCAGTTTTAGCTTTTAAAGCTCAGATCACATTTTGACTGAAGTTCTTTAAATTTGTGAAACTGGCCTCTAAAGTTTTTTGTTTCCTGGCCAAAGGCAGGTCCTTGGCGCATGTGCTCTTAGTTATTTGTGGAAGTATTGTGAATGCAAAACTCCTTTGTGGATTATTTGTGCCTTCCTACTCCATGTGTTGTTATAACTTAACTCCTTCATTGTTATCCTCTTGCAGTTTCCATCTCTTTAATATTTATTATAATATAAGAGAATAGAATAGAATAGAATAGAATAGAAGGCAGAAATAGCAAGAAAACTAAGGTTTTCTGTTACTAAAGTATTTTATTTCATGTCTTTGCTTGGTCAAAAAACTGTGCTGCACTGAATTGTTTTATTTCAGGTCTGAAATTGGTCAAAACCCGTGCCCAGTTAATGCAGCGTGCATCTGAGGAGGTTCCGGGGGGCCTAATGACGGTATTTTTGTGGCCCAACACCGAGTTAGGAGAGGCCAAGCAAGTTGCTATGGAGTTCTGTCGCCAGAAAGCTGGGATTGTCAACCCAGTGTGTAGCACTGCCAACTACCTGTGCTTTAATGCCAAGGTTCTGGGAGGAAATATAGAGGTGAGGATGAATGCCATTACTCAGAAGTCACGGGGTAAAGTTTTAAGAAAAAAAATCACTGAAAAGTGTTTAGTAAAGAGGTACCAATAAAAAAGGCTGCCACCAAGGTAGCCCATATCCTAAAACAATGACAAAAGCACAATCTATAAACCTGTTTTTGAGTAACAAGTTTTTTTTTCAAAATGGTGTGGGGAATGCGTAAAATTTACGTATGATGACAAAAAAAAAGTTGGTTTCTGGTATTTATCTTTAGTCAACAGTTTTGGATGGAATTAAACCTTTGTCAATGTTATATTTTTCTATATGAAGGTGTTACACGCATTGTATATCTTTATGTCCTTGTTTATGTGGAAATTGGATTGAAATTTTAAAAAAAAATGTATATTAACCAAAAAGCAATAGTGATAAGAAACACTCTTTTTTCCAGGCTTTGAAATTTATTGAAAAATCAAAGAGTGTTTTCAACATCCCCCGTGTCAAGCCTCTCCCCGTCAGTGGAGCATTTCACACTGCCCTCATGAGACCCATTGCCCAGGAATTTAAGAAAAAACTGGATGGAGTCAAGATAGGAGTTCCTCTCATCCCAGTGCAGAGTAACGTGAATGCCAAAAGATATAGAAAACCTGACGTAATTAAGAAAATGTTGGTGAAACAGTTATATTCCCCAGTCAAGTGGGAGCAGATTATGCAGACATTATACGCACGACCCAAAGACTCAGCATATCCAGACACGTATGAACTTGGGCCTGGAAAACAGCTGGGTACGTTACTGAAGTCTGTGTGTCAGTCTGCACATAAAAACTACATGGACACAGACGTATAGCAGATATGAGGAATAGGATTACAGGGTGCCGTGTCTGACCTGTCTGCAATAATTTTTAAGGGTGGTTGGGGGAGGTCTATTACCAAAAACAGTTGAACTTTTTTTCCCACTTAATTGACGTAACCTAAGAAATGGTCCGGAGTTGGAAGGATAACTAGATAAACAGGATATGTACACATAGAACATGCATGTTTGGAACAAATTAAAATGCGGATAGTATACTTTAATAATAAAATGGCTTATTCTTTAACATTGTGCATTCCATTAAAATCTCTATGCACCTTACAATTGTTTTTAAATTGAAGAACTTAATATTAAAATCTAAAAGAGCTAAATAGTACAATATAAAAGAACTAAATATTACAAACAATAAAGATTTAAAATGACAAAGTTTACAGCTAAAAATGACAAGTTAAAACTTAATTGTAATATTACAGGTATGTAGTTTATCTAGCTATATAAAATTTTAATAGTTAAATATTGTCAATTAAGACAAATAGGATATATAAGAAGAAAAACTACTTGATAATCAATAATAAGCTGTTCTAAAATATAAACCTTTAAAAGTATCTTACAAATATCCTTGTCGCCCCTTGCTCTTATTTAACTATTCCAGAGTTTGGATGCATATACTGTGAAAGCCCTTTTTTCAAATTTACCAACTTCTTTCCGTGAAACAGCTTGTTCTAAGAGTAAGTGGCTAAAAGTTGAAGACCTAGTAGCCTGCCCTTACTGAGGTGGCTTAATGTGCATTGAGATATAGAGTTGTTTGTTTTCTGTAACTGCTTCAAAAATTACATGTAAAACTTTAAATAAAATAAATACATGATACAGCCTCATATTTGAATATATGCAGTTTCAGATTGCTTAAATTGAAATATGGTATTTTATTTGAAAGTGGAGTCTTTCCAGGGCCGTAGTCTCCGGGGG